AACAGGCTAAACCAAAACTCCTTTGATTAAAATGTATTCAAATCCTCTAAAGGAACTTTCAAAAGTGCCCTTAAAAAAAATTGACCTTGAAAAAAAGAATATAGCAAAAATATTTCCACTAACATAGGACAAGTGTTTTTAAAATTGGTCAATAAACACTACTTGCCTTCTAATGTATTAAATAATGTTTTTAATAAAAATACAATCAAAGTTAATAACAGTTGCACAAAAAATATGGAAAAAATTAAAAAAAGTCACAATAATAATTTGTTAAAAAAAAAGAAAAAACAACAGAAAATGTTTTTTCTTTAGAATTTGAAAAAAAAAAAAAAATTGTCTAATGAGTGGAAAAAGTTTATAGAGAAATGTGGTGCATAAATGTGTTGTTTCCTTTATAAAGGAAAATTTTAAATAAAGGAAAATAAGAAATAAAATTTTAAATAAAATAAAGGAAAATTCCTTTATAAAGGAAATTGTGTTTTTTCCTTTTGTAAAGGATTTACACCACAACTATTTTAAACATTTTCTTCATTTTTTTTGTTAATATAATTATTTTTTGAGCTCGCTTACTTTTATAGTTTAAAAAGTGGTGTTTTAAAAAGTTTTTTACCTTTAATATTTATTTTCATAAATATAGGCTCTATTGCATTGTTGTACATTCTTAAACTTAAGAATGTACAATAATGCAATAGATCCTATAATAATGAAAATAAATATTAAAGGTAGAAAAATTTTAAAACACCACTTTTTAAACTATAAAAGTAAGCAAGCTCAAAAAATAATTATATTAACAAAAAAAATGAAGAAAATGTTTAAAATAGTTGTGGTGTAAATCAAAATAGCAGCATTTGTTTTTACACACATGTAAGTCATTAAGTAGTTCTATATTGTTCTATGGCACAAAATAAATGCATTTGTATAAATAAGTCTGTCTCCATAATAGATGTTATGTATACAGATATTATGGTATAATTTTTATTTACATATTTTCTTATATTTTGATTTATTATAATATTAAAGACAGATATGAAGTCAATTCCTTAACTAAATATATAAACAATCATATACATAACTTTATTAGATGATAAAAGCTTATTTTTAATCAAAAATAATTATTTACTTTATATTGATGAAAAAGCAATTTGTAAAATATTGATTTAAATAAAAAAACATCTGCATAAATACACAAGGCATCTTTAATAGCCAACCATTTAGTAACTAGGATATAAAATTAATAAAACAACTTCTTTTGCCTATTATTTTTAATACCTTATTCATAAATGTAAATTTAGTAAAACATAGCGTTATAAAATTTCAATTCAACTCAAATTTCAAAAACAAAAGTTCTGATTGCCGAATTTCTAAGTTCAAAAAAGTTTTTTAAGCTGTACAAATTTTTAAAACTTGTATTTAGTTTTTGAAATTTCTAGAAAAAACAAAAAAAAAAAAAAAAAAAAAGAATAACAAACAGAAAAAATAATCCCTTTATCAAAAGTGCAGATTTTTGAGAATTTCAATTTTTATTGTTTTGATTTTAAAGTTCCAAAAATGTTAAAATATTTTGTGTTGGGTTTTTTTATTTTTTTTATATTAGCAATAAAATTTTTAAAATGCTACCTATTGTGATAACATATATAACAAATGATTTGAAATTTTAAACTATGCGATTTGTGGTGTGCGATTGCATTAGTTTTATTACTGATTCTACAAGTTTTTTAAAAATGCAATTCATAATTTATTTTTTTTGTTTTCTTTTTTTTTCATTTAGTCAACAAAACTTAACAATTTTTAATTAAACAAATTTTCAGTTCATAAAAAAACTGTATACTTAAAATACCTACCTTAACTCTAGCATATCATGTACTTCAAGAGTACCATTGTTTTCTGAGTAAACCTCATTTGCCCACGGACCTCCTTTTCCATCTGGTAGACATTTCATTGATGCTCCAAACATTTTGTAAGAATCATCATTATCTGCTGAACAATAACCACCATCTTGCAAAGCGAAGTATTTAAACCCTTTTTGTGTTGCAACTCTGTAACATTTACCAAAAGCATCTGCACGCAGTTTATAGTTTCCATCAAGAACAGATGAGGTGTCTTCAAGAGTAGGTAATGTTCGACTATGATTAGTATAGTCTTGGAAACACCCAAGTTTTCTGATGAAAATAAGGGTTAAAACTGAATTTTAAAAATATCACAAAACCTATAACTTTGTAAGAAACAGTCAATTATAAATGTCTTTGTTTTTTTTTCAAGGATAATTTAAATGTAGCAGTCAATTATTTAGTTGCTTAAATTGTACATTTCTAAATGTTGTATTATACACTATGGCTATAACAATCCAAGTGTAACAAATCCAAGTTTTTTGTTTGCAACAATCTGATGCAAACAAAAAGCAGTCTAATAACTAACTAAATAACTAATTCTATAAGAAAAGCCACTTTTGAAGACTTTATTTTGAAACTTATATAGACCTATTTCAATCTGTTCAATGAAAAACAACCAATAAAGTGCCTAGACTAAGATATCTTAATTACTGTAAAGGACTTGAAAAAGTTAATTGTTTTTTGAGGTACCTGAAGATGCGAAAGACTTCTAAATCAATCAGCAACCTTGCAAGTTTAGAAAACAGAGCGCAAGATGAAATAGATAAATATTATATAAATAAACCAAATTAAATGTTCTATTTAAATGTTATGATGGTATCATGCATTACTTTGTACTTTTTTTAAGCATCTGTTTTAACAAATATAATATACAGATTAACATCTATTTGATTAAAGTATACTTATTTTTCTTAAGTTATTTTAAAGGATCTTTTTTTATACATTACTAATCCTAAATACTAGGGATATATACATTAAAATAAGTATTGTAACAATACTTATTTTACTTATAAAAATAAAATAAGTAATGCTAAAGGTGGGGTCAAAATTACTTTTTTTTTAATTCATCTTGTTACATCCCTAGAATTGATCAAAGTAATATAATAACACTGGATTTAAAAGATTTAAAAATAAAAAATATTTTTAGAGGTCTCAACTGACCCTAAAATATTTAAGAGGCCCTTAACATTATCCAAAAAAATTATGTCAATCTGGTACTCAAAAGATTCAAAATTTTATAAATATTTTAAAATAGAAATTATTTTAAAACTTTTTTTTAGATAATATTGTGTAAAATTTTTTTTTTAAAAGGTTTTTTTAAAAAGGTGATTTTTTTAAATATATTTTTTTAAGAAAAGTTTTTGGAAGTTAAAAACTTATTTAAAAAACCCATCAAAAAGATATTATGATTTCTGAAACTTTAATGAAACTTTGTTTTTTTTCGAGCACAAGGTTGACATAATATTAAAGAAATTGTTTCAGATAATAATAGAGACCGATTTAGTATTCGAGAGTCAGTTGTGACCTTTAAAAAATTTTTTATTCAATAATTTTTAAAATCTAATGTTGTTTTATAATATAGAACAAACCTAGAAACCAGGGAGAGTTTTCAATAAAATTTATATTTACCCCACTCTAATATATACCTAATTTTTAGATATATTATTTTAGATATATATATTATTAATCTTTTATAATAATCTTTTTTTGTTTTAAAACATCAATAAAGAATATTATTCTTATTATATATTTTATTACTGAAATAAGAATAGCATTTTTTATTGATGTTTCAGAACAAAAAATGGTTGTTATAAAACATCAATAATGAATACAAATAAAATACAAAGATGTTTATCATTCACATTTTTAACTATACCAAATGACTAACCTTTTTCGTATTGAGTTAAATAGGTAGGCATAATAATTACAGGCAAGTGCATGTTTTTAGTAGTGTGAACTAATGAAAAAATCATTGAGTTATGCAGAAATTTTTACAAAAAAGTAATATATACAAATTATAAATTTGCTTAAGTCTCTAATATCTGCATATTTAATGGTCTTTGGAAACTAGGTTTTGCTGTGGCTTGTTTTAAAGAGCATCCAACACCATCATATGAAAATTTGTTATGAATGGTTGCATGAAAATTTCAGTATGCTTTTATGTTAATACAATTGTAATGCATACATAAATAAAAAATTTTTTTTTGACTTTAAAGTGACAAGCACAATTATTTCTTTTTTTATGCTATTCAACTCCCATAAACCATTACAGTCAAGTAGGCTACTTTCTTTTTTGGTTACAATACTCTCTTAACTCTTTACCTCCGAAACATGAATGTTGATGAACAAGGCCACTGTGTGGAGAAACAAGTTGAGCGTGGTACTACCATGGTGGGGTTTACACAATATGACATGGTGGGGATCAAACTCAAAACTTTTTGTTAAAAAAGTGAGTACTTTACCACTTCACCAACATAAACCACATACTTGCAAATACCTGAAAAATATTCAATTTTTTTTTATCTGGGGTACATCAGTTTTAATTGAATTTGTGCGCGTTAAACTCATATAATGCATGTATGGAGTTTAATTTTTTATGAGGTTATAAGTTAAATCAATAATTAAAACAAAAAGCAAAAAATATTATTAAAATTAATTGGCATTATAAAAGTTAACACTAAATTAATTGGCATTATAAAAGCTAACATATCTTTTGTTAACATTACAAAAAAAAAAGCGAACAATACTTTTTATACAAAAATGAGCCCAAAACCTGTTAAAATAATTAAATTAAACTAATTAATTAAATTATAATTGTAACTAAATACCACTAAAAGACAATAATTAACTTTTTTGTGAATAATTTTTAAGAATTCACCAATTTATATGCTTCTTTCCAAGACTTATTTTATTTATCAGAAAACTTGTTCAAAAAAGCCTCGCTTTAGTGTCACTCTTTTAAGATTGATATGGATAAAAACAGTTCAAAATTGAATTTGAAGTCATATGTTTAAGATGTTTGGTAACTATTAACAACATTTTTGACAATAAATTTTAATTTTAGATTTTCATTACTGAAATTTCAAAAATGTATCATAAATTGATTTTTTTAAATTAGTTTAATTATGAATTTAGTTCAAAAACTAAAAGATTCCAATAGATTCCATGGTAGTTTAATATTTTCCCATTAATTGGTATATATGAAAGCAGAAAAAATAAAAATCATTTGCCCCAACTTGCCCCAATTGAAATAAGGCTTTTTAAATACTTTGTTTTTTTTTATTCCCCCCCCCCCATTTTTAATTAAAACTTATAAATAGCGTACAATACTCATTGCTTACAATCACTACACAAATAATACATTTAGTTATTTTAAGTTAAAAACTCTCAAACAGATGGTGCTAATTATCAAACCTCAAAAACCATTATATGCAACATTTGATGGCATAGCGCATGTTTTAAAATGAAAACTTGAGTAAAAAATAACTAACAATAGTTCATTGCTTACATTAAACATGAAAAGAATACATTTAGTTTCCATAATTCAAGAGTAGGAATAAATCATGATAATTTAATTAAAAGCTCTTCTTCGTGAATTTTTTAGACTGGAGGGTGTATACTATCAAAGCATTGACAAATCTAAATTAATAAATCTAAAGAAAACTCTAATAATATCACGGGGATAAATTTTCCAATAAAAATCGAAGATGCCTTGAGCTTAAAAATTTAGTGTGAACTTTCTGATGAACAGTATCAAATTATAAGAAATTCATCAATAATACATAATTAAGGTATTTATTCTTCACTTCATGAAATTAAAAACGGAAGACGCAAATGTTATCCTGAGTGTCTAATTGTGACAGAAACATCTGGTTCAGCTCCTCTACAGGATATGTCGAATCATACTCTGACAAGGACATTTATTTTTACAGAATGCCAAGACTCTATGAGAATCTTTGCTGAAATTAGAGGAGGTTTAAAGGTCTACTTCACTTTAAAAGTTTTTATGGTGCCTCCAGTCAAAGTGTCTATAAGCAAAAATATACTGATACAAGTTTTGGTGAGGCCCAAGGTAATGAGCAAAGTCTTTTCCAGACAGCTATTGTTCCACTTAAATTAACCATTATGAACAAAAATGTATGGTTAAAAAAGAAGCCCTCTAGTACACAAGCAGAAATGAATAGACTAGTCAAGGACAATCCTAATATCAGTATGCTCTTGTTATGAGTTGAACTCTGAAAGTTTTGACCAGTATTGCTATGAAACTACAGCTCTTATACTCAAAAACTTTTGCTGCTATGTGATTCCCCATCAGTTCATGAACTCTTGGAACATGGTGTGCATATATCTGAGGCATTAGAACTGGCAATTAATTACTATACTAAAGAGTCACAAGAGACTCTAAATAAGGAAATTTGCAAAGCTAGATTAAACTATACAGCCAAGATGTCTAAAAAGAATATTATAAAAAACCAGTACCTAAAAAACCAATACCTGCTGATTAAAAGTGATCCTGTAATATCAAAAATTGAATCAAAACATTGTACAAGGTTGAAAATGGAAAACCCCTGAAGTTTTATCTTTGTTAATGCTGTAATAATGAAATAAAACTTTTTTTATTAATATTAGATTTTTTTTCTTTGTTTTCTTGAAAGAAAAATTAGATAAGATAAATGTTTATTTTGTATTTAATATATTTTAACATTATTATTATTATATTAAAATATTTTTGAATCCATTTTTTCTTTTTAATTAGTAAATGTTTTGGTTTGAAAAATTTAATTTTTTTTTAAATTAAGTCAGTCATTGTGCGCGTTAAAGACTCATGTAAATGCGTGTGTAGTATGAGCCTTAGGCACAAGAAAAATTTACATCAAAAAATATGTGGTATTCTTTTATGATATTTTTGATCAAGAAATCCGATTTTTTTATTTAAGTCATGTTTTGCACATGTAAAAGACACTTCACGTAAAAATTATTTTTAATAGAAAATTTAAATTTTTTGACCCAAAATACAATAGTATTGATGTATCACATGTTTATATGTGATAGTTATATATTTTTCGCAGTTTTTTTTTTCTGACTCACTGTGCAACGATATGATAATAAAGGTCATCAAATTGAATATTCAAGAATAACAAGTAGGAGGAGTAAAAAAAATATTGCTTTTAAAAGATATTTTTAATTCAATCTCACATAACAGTTAAAAGCTTAATAAAACATTTTTAGGAAGTTTATTGTGACCATTTTTGAAAAATTGAAATAAATATACAAATATAAGTGCCTATAATTTCATTTTTATATAATGTTCAAAACAAAAATATATCATATATCATCAAATCAACCAAATACATTTGAGAAATCAGATGAATTATAAATAAAACACCAATAACTTATTTACAAAAAAATATAAAGATTTAGATTGAATTTAAACAATAACACTAAAAATTATAATAATAATTAGCTTAACACCAACTCGGGCATCTTCCATGTTTGAAATTATTGCATAATGCTTCGTAGTATGTTGAACAGCAAATGTACAATCACCTCACATTATTGTATGTTTTGCTACAGTACCAATTCTTTTCAAACACTGCATTTGATGTTCCACAATCCCAGCACTATTAACAGATGGAATGCGATTGGCATTTTTAACGTTATCTTAGACCAGATTATTTCCATCAGGTTTTACATTGGACTGTAGGGTCCTAAACGTTACAACTGAGCTGGAGAATTTTTAAACACCCTTTCCAAACAAGCGTGATATGGAGCATTATCTGTTACAACCACCAAATCCTCTAAAAGATACCTGGATGTAACCCACTGATGAAACATAACTAACATCTACTTGTTACAAGAATCTGCATGAATTTCCATCATGACGACATTTGTTGTTGATATAGCAGCAATCAAATGTACATTTGCATCTCTTGAAGCAGGCATTTTCATTATTTCTCTTCTTTCCTGTTTGGCATTTCCTTGCTTTTTTTTACAAAAAAAGTTAAAATTTGTTTCATCAAACTAAACTATCTAATAGCCATTTGTGATTTGTTTGTTGATGTTCCTAACATATTCAGCTCTTTTTTGTTTGTTTTCATTACTGTTTCTTATAGAAAGTACCTTGATCACTTTTTTTAATGAAAACAATCTGCCTTTAGAGTTATTGGCAGTTGTTGTTGTGCTGGCACATATTAAATTGTCTTTATATTTTTGTTTTGATGAATTGTCATAATATTTTTGTTTTGATCCTCAGTAAATTTTTTTGGTTTAAAATCACCTTTTCTAATAAAATTTGAATTTCTACTACAAACCTGATTGAAAGCTAACTGATATTTGACCTAAATTTTGCACCAGAGTCACTAAATCCTCATTTTGTTCATCACATTCAGCAACTCTACATCTGTCATTCAATGAAGATGAAACGCAATGTTTTCTTTCAATTTGTTCAGTTGTATACATTCCCTGTTGACAAGTTAGATAAGACGGTTCTATTAGTTACAGAAGCGGATGTAAGCTAATTTGGTGAAATAAATGTTGACACAGATTCAATTTAATAACAGACTTTTAAATCATAATGCAATGATAATTAAAAAAATGATCTTTTAATTCCATTTTTATTGCTGGTGCATATAAATGCTTAATTTAATATTATTAACTTATTCAAATTCATGAACATAATTATATCAATTAATTGGAATATAACTTTTAAATATACTCAAATTAATGAATATAACTATATTTATATAATTATATTCATTAATTTGAATATAATTATATTAATATAATTATATTCATGAATTAGACTATAATTAAAAATTTACTTATATTCTTGAGTACATAAAACCGGTGACAGGACAATGATTTTTAAATATCTTTAAGTTTTTGTTCACCTTGTTTAGTTTTATCAAAGACCTATAAATTAATACTTAATATTAAACCCATCTGCAAAATAAACCCATCTGCAAAATAAGCAAAGTCACAAAAATAAATATTTTGCGTGAACTCTATTTCTACATTCTATATACTGAAATCTATCATCTATTTAAATATTGGACCAAATAGATACCGTTAGGATAACATTTTTTATTTTGTAATAAAAAAGGGGAGGGGAGGGGGAGGGGGGAAGTAGAGAATATTCTTGAGACAACTTTTTAATTTTTGAAATAATGTTTTTATGGCATGAAATTTATTTTGCATTTGATTTTAATTCACTTACTGTTATGAGCATATATCTATGTTAAATACATACGAATATGTAAAAAAAAAAAAAAAAAAAATAAGTAGCCTCCTTGACTGTAGTGGTTCCCTCGGGCCTTGGGGAGGTGAATAATTAAAAAAAAAAAAAAAAAAATGTAAAACACATATGTGCTTATTTATGTATAAAAGCAAATATGAATGTACTTTGCAGTCAATATTTTTTTTCTCTTTTTTTCTCTTGCTTATATTTTTACACTGTGAAAAATTTTAAAATAATGTAAAGAACTTTGTAAAGATTTTTTTCCTAAGAACTTATACTTTGTGTAAAAATTTGAAGTAATAAGAAAAAAGGTTTTATTTGAAATCTCCATTTAGCGATAATCCTAATAAAATTAAAAAAAAAAAGTCATTATTTAAATTAACATCTGTTAAAAGTTTAAAAATACTTACTTAATCATTACTCCATTGTATGTAAAATTCAGTTGAGGTTTGCCACAGATTTCTAAAATTAAAATTCAGTCAATAATTCTTTATATTTTATTTTAAAATACATATGCATTTAAGTAACAATTTAACAAATTTAAAAATTTTAACAAATAATGCCAAGTTTAAATTTTTAAATAATTATAATGAAATTAAGACAAAAACTTATAGATTATAACATTTTTCTGTAACCCTTTTATAGGCAAAAAAAAAAAAAAAAAACAATTAATTGAATTCTTTAGATGTTTAATCATTAAAATTTAATGATTTTTTTTTAAAAATTCAACTATTCAATATCCAGTCAAACAAGAATGTACTGCTAATATTTTACTTTGCAATGTAGTTTTACATCATTAGGTGTCTGAATCAAGTCATATTAAACAATACAGGTAATTACCAATTAGAAGCAAATTGCTTAATTTGATATAGCTTTTTTCTTCAACAATAAATTTGGATTTTGCATAACTTTAAAAATAGGAGTTTTATTTGATCTTTTCAATATTTCTTCTTTTTTTGAAGTTTTTATACCTTATATGATTTCTAATGAATTTCGTTATTGCCTCTCAACTGTTTTTTCTGATTCTTTTGATAAAATGAAAACAGTTGATCAGCAGTAATCTTCGGATAAAAAACAATAGTAAAAATATTATAATGCAAAAATATTATATGATCTTTGTTGATATTTTCATCTTAATATTTGCATATCATCTTAAATTTTCCATTAAAAAAATGTTTTAATTTCTTTTTTTCTTCACAAAAATATAATAATAATAATAATAAAAAATCTTATTCATTGCTATCTGCTAAACACACTTAACATAGTTGATGTGTTAAGCAGATAGCAATTATTAAGTTTTGTTGGTGAGCCAATTTTTATTTGACATTATTTACAGTTACAGCCGGTACAATGAAGGTGTGTGGGAGGTGTGACACCCCCCACCCCCATCAGTGATTTTTTTGTTCATTTAGACGGCAAATTTGACCTTTTTTGACTAGTCAGTCTGCAAATGTTGACTCTTTTAAACAAGTTAGTTGATAAACTTAGAGAATCAGTCAGCAAATGTTGATAGAGCAGTAGGCAAATTTAAAAAACGAGGACCTTTTTTTTTTGTCGGCAAAAGATATATCGGCACCCCCCACATGATACCTACTCGTGCCAGCCCTGTTTACAGTAATCTGTTTAGTAAATAAGAAATAGTAAAAAGTATTCATTTAAGAATATATTTGAAGATGTTTTTAACATATCATTTAAGGATATTTTTAACAACTCTTTCTTTAAATTTAAGTTTATATATTTGCAATAATAACATTTTGTGAACGTTTTTTATATGATATACTAACTTTAATATTTTAAGATAATGTTTTAACCAAGTGCATGAAATTTTGAATAAGAAGCATTTTGCGGTAATCAAAGAAAAGTTTATTTATCAATACAAATTTTATGAACTGTGAACTTTTTTAATCTTTGGTTAGAATAATATAAATCAATTTTCTAAAAGTTCTTAAAAAAAAAAAGTTAATAGTAAAAAAAAAAGAGATTTAATAGAAAATAAAAAAAAGATATTTTTAAAAAATATTTAACAATTTTATAGTCAATTTTTTATTAATAATAGATTTTAGAGAAAATTTTTTCAAAACATTGGCTTGCTAATTGTTTAAAAAAACGGCCAAACTGTATTTGAAAAAAGTACCAACTTATTAAAATAAAGATCTCAGGTTACTTACTAACACAGCTGAAAACATCTTTGCCCAATCTCCAGATTGTTTCACACTTACAAATATAGCATTCATCTGGATTTATACAAACACTGTTTGACCAAAAGCAAGGATTAGTGCAACCGTTAAGCTCTAAAGGTATATAATGATAATTCCTCTTGAACAAATCAAATTAGTTTTACAAAAAAAAAAAAAAAAAAAAGATTTATAGTCATGAAAGCATCAGTTCTTTTAATTTGACTAATAGTTATTTACATAATGACAATATTGAGTAAATATGGCGCTCGGTTTGTACCGTTTGAAAAATAATTTTTTGTAGGTATATCTAAAGAGTAGCAGGTTGTAGTGAGGGAAATAATTAGCAAATTGTAGGTTCAATCAATTACTCCTATAAGTTGTTAAAAAAAATCAATATTCAGGTTTATTTATATGTGGTGACTTTGAATAAAGTCAACTTATATATATATATATATATATATATATATATATATATATATATATATATATATATATATATATATATATATATATATATATATATATATATATATATATATATATATATATATATATATATATATATATATATATATATATATATATATATATATATATATATATAAATATATATATATAATATATATATATATATATATATATATATATATATATATATATATATATATATATATATATATATATATATATATATATACCCATATAGTGTAGTCGAAAGAGCATTTTAATGTAAAAAAAGTCTCTTACGACTACAATTTTAATTACCTCGTCTCTTAAGCTGTTTTTGATTGTCATCGAAATGTCAAAGCAATTAATTTATGCGGAAGTACATTAAATTTAATTGTTTTTTAAAAATTTTTTAAAAAACCGCAATTATAACGACTAGAAAGTTTTTTTTAATTAGTGGTGTTTTTGTTATTGATTTAATAAAAAGTTTTTTTAAAACATGCGTAAATGTTGCTACATCGACTACCTTATAGCCTGACTCGCAACGGAGTGCTGCTACATCGACTGACAAATAGCCTGACTCGCAACGGAGTGCTGCTACATCGACTGACAAATAGCCTGACTCGCAAGGGAGTGCTGCTACAACGACTGACAAATAGCCTGACTTGCAAGATAGTGCTGCTACATCGATATATATTGTTTTATTGTTGCCTTGTTTTAAAGCATTACGCCTAGAGCGATTTTTACGCC